GCGCTCTCTGTTGAGCAGTAGTATAATATTATATTTAATAATAATCAATAAATATATAATAATAATAGAATAATAAATAAATATAATAATTAATAGAATAAAATGGTTTTATTAAAAATTGTGTCTTATTTAAATTGATATTGATGTTTTTTCGATAGTACTAATTTTGATAATATTGATATCGAGTCGAATGAAGTATCGCAAACTAAAGTGCATTGTAAATGTAACTTTGTAATCTATTGGATTAAAAAAAACCGAAAAACCGGTTTTTGGAAAAAACCGGTTTTTTTTGGCCGGTTTTAACCGCCAGGTTAAACCGTAAGCAAAAAAAACCGGTATAACCGAAAACCGGTGTTTTGTCAAAAACCGCCATCCCTAAAGTATACCCAAAACACGTTTTTGGGTTTACTTTGCTCCGAGGTTAAGTAACCTCAAAATATGTGTGAATTTTCTTTGTTAATTATTTATCAGCTTTTAAGTAAATTTGTATGGGTACCGATGTTTTAAAATAAAAATATTCATGACCAAATTCAATATATTATAAGAAAGTAATCTTATGTTTTGTTTCAGACATGCCTAGAAACTACATTAGAAGGCCTGGATCAAGAAGGTATACAGACTACACTGCAGAGACATTTCAGGGGGTGTTTAAATGCAATAAAAGCAGCAGAAATTTCACACCGAGAAGCAGAGAAAAAGTACAACATATCAAGAAGAACAATTTTAAATAAACTTAAAGGAAGATACCTAAGGAAACCTGGAAAACAGCCATATTTTCTTTACAAAAAAGAAGATTTTGTTCAGTGTATTGTTGCATTGGGACAGTTTGGCTTTCCTGTAGATACAACAGAATTGCGTCACATTATTAAAGATTATTTGGACAGATGTGGTAGGGAAGTTAGGATTTTCCAGAATAATTTGCCTGGTCTAGAATGGGCCAAATCGTTTATTAACAGACATCCAGGTATATCCCGACGCTTCGCTGAGAATGTCAAGCGTACGAGAGCCGCAGTAAATGAGACAATGATAAGGAGCTACTTTGAAAATTTAACGACCGAAATATTAGAGGTGCCTTCAAGGAACATATGGAATTTTGACGAAACAAACCTTACGGATGATCCAGGAAAAAAGAGGGTACTCGTGAAGAAAGGTTGCAAGTATCCTGAATTAATTCGAAATGCATCGAAGACATCAATTTCCGTCATGTTTGCAGGAAATGCGGCTGGAGAACTGTTGCCTCCATATATTGTTTATCGAGTCAGCAAGATGTGGACCACGTGGACAGAAAATGGGCCAAAAGGATGTCGATATAACGCTAGTTCTTCTGGGTGGTTTGATAGCAATATATTTACTGATTGGCTGGAGCTTCAAATGATACCTAGGCTAAGAAAATTAGAAGGAAAGAAAATCCTAATATGCGACAACCTTTCTTCTCATTTGACAGTTCATTTCGCTCAAATTATGTCGAGAAAACCAAGTAAGCCTAATTTTTTACCCCCAATAGCACACACTTACTCAGCCTCTGGACGTGGCATTTTTCGCAGTTAAAATAGCCTGGAAAAAAGTGCTATCGGACTGGAAAAATATAGAAGAAGGCATTAAAATACAAATATTCAGAAACAGAACTTCCCACCACTGTTAGTAAAATTGATAGAAATTATTGCACCAACCTTCAAAGATAATTTGATATCCGGTTTTCGCAAATGTGGTATATTTCCTTTGAATGTTGAGGAAGTTTTAACACGTATACCTCGAAGTTCAAACAACACAGATATTGTAGAATCCGCATTTCTTCAAATACTTGAAACACGAAGATCTTTGTCAACTAACACTACAAAGAATCGCAGAAAGAAAATCAACATTCCTCTTGGAAAAAGTGTGTGCGTTGATGAATCAATTGAGGAACCTACGACCTCCACTACAGCAAATGACGAGCAGCTGCCAGAATCTTCTACTTTTAGGGGAGAGGACACACTTAGTTTAAATGATGATTCATCGAACGATCTTAACTTCGATGAAATTGAAAAAGAGCAAGAGAAAGAAAGAGAATTCATAAATTTTGTAGAAGATAAATACTATCAAACAAATGATTTCCATTTTGATAAGGTAGTAAGAGAAGTTGGATGTTTTGTGGTCTTTTCTTTCGAAGGACAGGTCTATCCTGGACAAATTGTTTCCTTTAACACTGATGAAGTTACAATTAATGCAATGCAAAAATCGCTAAAAATGTGGAAGTGGCCTCCAAAGAAAGATCAACTTACATACTCTTGGTCCGATGTTCTTGGATCTATTAAACCTCCCAAACAAGTAACAAAAAGGGGTATCTTTTCTGTGCCTGAGCTGGCTTGTTCGTACAGTGACTAAATATGCAGTTGCACATTTTGGTACAACGCTATATTCAATACACATATTAGGTATTTGTTTCTAAAACCTTATTAAGTTTTAAAAAACTGTTTTTCGTTGAATATTTGCATTCCTAGTTCTTAAGTTTTTGAAAGGTACATCTAGTTACATTTTATGAGGTACCTTATCATATTTTTTTTGTAATTTATTAATATAATCCAAAACATGTTTTAGTTTTCTGCAATAAATTCTAAAAAAATATTTTTTTTCCGTGTTTTTTTAATTTATTTTGTGAGATGGGGAACATTAAACAAAATGTGTGCTTAACATTGCACCAGTGATGTAAAAACTAGCGATTAGACGTTATTTTATGATGTGGGGCAAAGTAACCTTTGGCTATGGGAAACTTTGCTCCACATTTCAAATGAAAAAAATAACAATAATTCGTTATTTTTGAGCTTAAAGTATTTAAACCATAATTGTTTAAAGTATTCTTACAAGTAGGATTCAAGTAAATAAAGATATCTCTCAATTTTATAAACATTTTGTTGAAAATTCTTCAGAGGCCTTTAAAAACGGAGCAAAGTAACCCCGGTTTACGATATTTAAATTGATGAGTGTTAAGTCCACTGTACAAATATCCAGATTTATTGAGAAATGTATTGAGGTTTAATTGTAGAGAAATACTCCACAGTAAACAAATTACTATTTGGTGTGCTAGATCTGGGCATGGATTCATCATCATTATCATCATCATCATCATCATGCAACCCCTTCTGTTCAGTGTTGGACATACGTCTCTCCCATTTTTCGCCATTCTTCACGGTTCTGTAATACAGATCGATGATAAGTCACTAGAGTCACGCTAAACTGCATTGTTCGAGGTAGGATTTTATGTGAAGGCCCTTGTACCCAGGACTTTACATGTCAAGCACTTTTCTGAAAATGGAGCCTCTATAGCGCATCAAAGTGCTATCGGGAAAAAGTAGATGGTCTGGAGTATTGGAGAGGGGTGGAGTGTTTCTTGTTTACGCGAGTTAATCCTTCTCGCTGTAATGAATTGTATCACCCTAATATTATACTCAAGGGGTGTGCAAGTCTCTCATGCTAGGTTAAACTATTGCTTGCTTGTGATTTTATTATAGAGGACGATATAATTTTGTATTTATGGACAGGAAAACTTTTTTCATAGAGACAGGCTTTTTTTATAGAGATTTTAAACGAGGAAAGATTTTACGATCATTTTTATGACTTTCTAGTTTCTAAATTGGAAAAACAATAAAAGTTTATGATAGTCTATTAAAAAGCGCTTTTAGTGAATTGTCGGAAAATAGAACAACAACAAAATGCAGGTGTGTAAAAGGATCGGTTTAAATTGTTTTTTATACTGATAAAATAAAATCTAACCTCGTTTTAATGTTGCCGCGGTTTAGCACCTCAGATATTATATCTTCTTCTTCTTGTGCCACTACTATCGGAGATTGGAAATCATCAAGGCTATCCTGATCTTGTTTACAGCTGACCTAAAGAGTTCATTAGTGGTACAGCCAAACCACTCTCTCAAATTACGAAACCATGACATTCTTCTACGGCCTGGATTCCGTTTTCCTTCTATTTTTCCTTGCATTATATTTTGAAGTAATGCGTATTTATGTCCTCTCATCAGGTGACCTAAATATTCGAGTTTTCTTCGTTTGGTCGTTGACAAAATTTCTGGGTCTTTTCCTATCCTTCGTATTACTTAAAAGTTTGTGACTCTTTCAACCCAACTTATCTTCAGCATTCGACGGTAGCACCACATCTCGAAACTTTCAATATTTTTTATGTTGTTTTGTTTGAGAGTCCAGCCTTTACACCGTATAATAGCGTGTTAAATACGTAGCCTCTTAGCATTCTTAATCGTAGAGGGATGCTTATATCTCTGTTGCAGAAGAATTTCCTCATCTTTATGAAGGTGGCCCTGGCAATTTCGATACGTCTTTTTATTTTCATTGTTTTGGTCTCCAGTTTCGTTTATTGAAGTCCCCAAATATTTGTAACTTAATACTTTTTCAATTTGAATGCCGTTTATACTAATATGTGCTGGTTGTGTCATGTTTTTACTGAAGACCATATACTTGGTTTTTTTGATATTTATATTTATGCTATAATTGTTGCAGGCAATATTTATATTTGTAAGTAATCGTTGTAATTCTTCTACTGTTCTTGCAACTAGTGCAGTGTCGTCTGCGTATCGAGTATTATTTACAACCTCTCCATTGATTACGATTCCTTCATTTGCTTGCAAAAGGGTTTCCTGGCAGATGCTTTCACTATAAACATTAAATAGCAGTGGTGACAAAATGCATCCCTGTCGTACTGCTCTACGTATTTCTATTGCTTGTGATATATCCTTTTCTATTTTGATGTTAGCTTTCTGATTCCAATATAGATTGAGAATTATTCGCAGATCTTTATTATCTGTCATTTCTTTCAAGAATGTCTCTTAGCTTATCATGGCGTACTCTGTCAAACGCTTTTGCAAAATCGATAAAGCATGCATGTACTTCCTGATTAACGTCTAGGCATCTTTGTGTAAGAACATTCAAACCGAAAAGAGCTTCTCGAGTACCTAGTCCTTTTCTGAACCCCATCTGTGTATCACTAATATCTGAATCCAACTTTTGATAAACTCGGTTGTGAATGACTTTTAGAAATATCTTTAGTAGATGGCTCATTAAAGATATTGTTCGATGTTCTGAACATTCTTTTGCATTGGATTTCTTTGACAGTGTAACGAATGTAGACAACAGCCACTTTTGAGGTATAATACCAGTTTTGTATATTGTGTTAAATAAGTGCAATATTATACCTATTGAGTTATCATTCAAGAGCTTTAGCAATTCAGTAGGAACCTCATCAGGTCCATTTGCCTTTCCAGTTTTGGAATTTTTAAGTGCCACTTCTACTTCACATTTTAGGATTTCAGGTCCCGTTTCACCATTTACCTGAACAATGTTATTTCTATTGTCCTCAAACAATTCTCTTATGTATTCACTCCATCTATTAATTTTCTCTGTTAAATCTATAATAATCTTTCCGTCTTTATTATTAAGCACACTTATTTGATATCTTCTTTGAGTTCCTGTAATATCTTTTACTTTTTTATGTACATTGAATGTGTCATATTTTCTTTCATAGTGTTCCATTTCTACACATTGTTCTTCAATCCATAACTCTTTGGCCTTGTTTATTCTTTGCTTTATGTTCTTATCAACCTCTCTGTATTTTTGTGCATTATTCCTTATTTTACGTCTTTCATCTATTAGTTCTTAATATTTTCTTCGTAAAGTGTTATATCTTCTGGGAACATCCACCTTCCACTTTTCTTTTTGAGGACCATTTTTGTTCTTTCAACTTCAGTGTTAAAAGTGGTTTTTACTCTAATTAGTCTATGGTCACTCCCTGTTGAAAATTTATTCAATACTGTTACATCCTGAACAATATCTTTCCGATTTGATATTATGAAATCAATCTCATTTTTTGTTCTTTAGTTCGAACTCTTCCATGTCCACCTACGTTTGGATACACACGACTTAGAGAATATCAGCATCAATGAAATGAACAATAATATTACTCAAATATTGAAAGAAGCTGAAAAGAAATACTGTCCTAGTCCTGAAAACAATAACAAAAAATTAAGCCACAACACAAAACATCTTCTAGAGGAAAGAAGAAAACTTAGGGAAAATCAGGATCATAACCAAAATGAACTAAGAATTTTGAATAAGAAAATTAAAAAGGAAGTTAGAAAAGATCTGAGACGATACAATACGATGGAAATAACTAGAGTAATAGAAGAAAACAAAAGCTTGAAAGTACTTAGACAGAGCATGTCCATTGGAAGAAAAAACGTCCACAAATTAAGAAATGAACAGGGGCAAATAATTGAGGATAGAGTTCAAATTATGAACACGATAGAGAGTTTTTATAGACAACTATACAAAGAACAGCAATGTAACCGGAGTGGATCATTACCAAAGATAATCAATCAGGGATCTGAAATTTTACCGGACGTAACACCCAATCACCGTACTGGAATCAAACTGCTATCGTAAAAATTGGAGATAACTACACCGATGAAATCCCCATACAACGAGGATTCACACAAGGTTGCATTTTGTCGCCAACATTGTTCAATGTTTACTCGGACCAGCTATTTAAAAAGGCACTTGAGAGACAACCATATGAAATAAAAATCAACGGGGAACTACTTAATGTGATTAGATATGCAGACGATACAGTAATTCTATCAGATAATATTGAAGGTCTTCAAATTCTGCTTGATCGTATTCACGAGGTAGGAGAGGAAATGGGCATTAAAATAAACTCAAACAAAACCAAATTTTTAGTGTTTAGTCGTGACCCACATCCCGATGCAAAGCTTCAATTAAACGGAGTCCAAGTTGAGAAAGTTCACAAATGACATATTTGGGAACTGTGATAACGGACCAACTAGATCCAGACATAGAAATAAAACGTAGAATAGCAATGACTAAAACTACTTTTATGAAAATGAAGTCATTTCTTTGCAATAACCATCTCAGTTTAGAACTAAGGCAAAGAATGGTTAAGTGTTATGTTTGGTCTATACTTTTGTATAGTGCAGAAGTGTGGACGCTAAAAGTATCGATCATGAACAAAATTGAAGCATTGGAAATGTGGGTTCATAGACGAATGCTGAAGATACCTTGGACAGCAAGAAAAACTAATGAAGAAGTACTAAGGAGCGTCAACAAAGACAGAGAACTGCTAAAGACTGTTAAACATCGAAAAATGTCTTATCTGGGATGTCTTATCTATCTATAGTAAGGGAAGTCGATATAGAATTTTACAACTGATCCTTAAAGGCAAAATAGAGGGCCGTAGAGGTGTAGGAAGAAAACAAGTTTCTTGGTTAAAAAACATTCGTGAATGGACTCAGTACCAAATGCAGGACAATTATTCCATATTGCATAAGATCGAGAAGCCTTCACAATGGTGATCGCCAACGTCGGATAGTTCTGATATGGTACGCGAAGAAGAAGAACACCCAATGAAGTTCAAAGGTCAGTGCAAGAAATGAAAAACAATAAGTCCCCAGGAGGCGATGAAATAGTGGCAGATGCCTTGAAAGTGGCTGGAAAAAGATTATGACAGGTCCTTGCCAAACCATTCACTAGATGTTTGCAGGAAGCAATAACACCAACCCAGTGGTATAACGCACAAATTATCATACTTCATAAAAAAGGGATGCTACCGACCTCAGGAGTTACAGGCCCATAAGTCTACTTTCACATATTTATAAACTATTTACAAAAATAATTACGAAACGACTAGAAAATAAATTGGAATTTTATCAGCCCATAGAACAGGCGGGTTTTAGAAAAGGCTATGGAACAAACGATCACCTACTGGTAATAAAAAATCTTATAGAAAAATGCACTGAATATAATAAACCGCTAGCTTTAATATTTGTCGACTATGAAAAGGCATTCGACACCGTAAATCAACAAAAAATGTTGGAAGCCTTGACAGAATGCCGGATTGACTATCGGTATATAAATATAATTAAACACATATACCAAAACGCAACAGCCAGTGTTAGAGTGGGTGATCGTCAAACCCAGAAATTCCCGATACAACGTGGAGTACGCCAGGGGGACACCATATCGCCGAAACTGTTCACTACGCTTTTGGAATATATATGTAAAAGGGCAAAACTGACCGACAAGGGCATAAACATAAACGGAGAAAAGCTTAGCCATCTAAGGTTTGCAGATGATATTGTACTAATAGCTGATAGGATAGATGAGGCCAAAGAACTTTTAAATCAGCTCTACCTTTCCTCGCTAGAAGGGGGATTGAAAATAAATATATCTAAAACCCAGATGATGACAAATCTTGTAGTCAGCGAAGATATATGCGTAGGAACAAGATCCATAGACCAGGTAATGGCCTATAAATACCTAGGTCATGAGATCCGCATAGGAAAAGATAACCAAACCGTTGAGCTTCTCCGTCGTATAAGACTGACTTGGGCAGCCTTCGGCAAGCTGAACCATATTTTCAAATCGTCTGATATACCAATATGTCTTAAAAGAAAAACCTTTAATCAGTGTGTTTTGCCAGTGTTGACTTACGGTGCGGAAACGTTGATCATGACAAGGAGAATTATTCAAAAATCTGTTTCAAAGCGTACGCTATGCGTTACTACAGAAATCCCAAATCGCCAGCTACGATAAAGAACAGGGGTGGCTGATGCAGTAGAGAGAGTAGCAACACTGAAAATGAAACTAGGCAGGTCACGTGGCTCGAATGACAGATAACAGATGGACAAAGCGGATACTGGAATGGAGACCAAGAGATGATGCCTTACGAAGCAGAGGTTGTCCACCAACACGTTGGACTGACGATCTAAAACGTTGTCATAGGAATTGTATGCAAGAGGCACAAGATCGGAATAGATGGAAAATTATGAGGGAGATCTATGTCCAGCAGTGGATAAGCGAAGATTAAATGATGATAATGATGATCTATTAGTTCTAGTATGTCTGGTGTCATCCATACTTTGTGTTTCTTTGCAGATCTGGTTAGGTGTTTTTTTTCCAGTAGTTCTTATTGTAGTGTTTATATACTGAAGTTTTTCATCTATGTTGTCTGTTCTGCGGATTTGACTATCTGCTATACTGAGGTTTGTGTTGTGTTTTATAATTTTATTAATTAATGTTGTTAATTGTTCTGTCATTGCTGCTCCACAATATTTCAGTAATTCGTTTGGTATCCCGTCTTTACCTGCTGCTTTTCTGTTCTTCAGGTTTTCAAGTATTTTCCGAACTTCCTGTACATTTATATTAAGTTCTTCATTTGTGGTAATTTCTGGTGTTTCGGTTCTAGCGTCGTTTGTTCTTCCTCTGCATATAGCTTTTTTAGGTAGTCAATCCACGTATCCTTTTCTATGTGTTTTGGTTCTATTAGTTCCTTTACCTCCGTTCTTTGACCTCTTATGAAGCGCCATATTTCCTTTTGCAGACCGTAAAAATCATGTTCCATTTCTTTCGAAAAGCGTTCCAGTGATCATTTTTTATTTTTCTTACAAGTGCATGTGTTTCGTTTCTAATTGTCTTGTAATTATGGTATGCTCTTGTGTTTTGTTGACATGTATTTCAGGTAAGCTTTTTTCTTTTCTTTACATTTTTCTTTCACTTCTGTACAAAACCATGGAGTTCTTCGCCTTGGAACGATTTATTTTTATTTATATTTCTTTCACCAAGAACTTCCTTGGCCGAGGCTTAGACTTAATTTTGCCAGCTTTCTTCGACTCCATCACTTTCTGTGATATATGTATTTCTGCTTTTTTCGGTTATTCTTTTTTGGAATAGGTATCTTGTGGAGTAATTCTGTAAGCTTTCGATTTTATCTTGTGGTGTTTCTGGTGTTTTGTTATCACATATGTGTTTTCATTCGGATTTTGCACAATACCAATTTATGATCGCTTCCTATTTCTGCTGATGTTAGTGCTCTTACATCCAAGATTTGAGAGGGCTGTAACTCTCTATTCGACAGAATATAGTCTATCATAGATCTTTGTCCTCTACTGTTTTCAAAAGTGTATTTGTATTGTTCTTTGTCAGGAAAAAATGCCGTGATTATTACGAGAAATTATAAAGAACTTATATAACAGAATAATAGCAGAAGTTCAATTGAATGGAGAAAAGTCTAAAAATTTTAAAATGCAAGAATCTATAAAGCAAACAGATCGGTTAAGTCTACTTATGTTTTTAATAATAAAGGAGATAATATTAAAGGTCAAGAAGATGAACAAAAAGTTTACAAGCAACCATAGAATAGAATGGGACTAGTACAAGCAGATGCACTAATGTAGCAGACGAACTATTTCTTTTAGCTGAGACTTAACAAAAAATTTTAAAGATATGGAACATATTAAGATGGAAATAAATGAAGAGAAGAGCAAGATAATGATAACAGATAATAAAAGCAGAACACAGAATAAACCGATCAAACTAAAGAGAGAACTGAATTCAAGAAAATAGATTTTTGTGCATTATACAATGGGCAAAATAGAAAAAAACACAAATAAATGCAACTAGCATATACTAACAAAATATATAAAACAATATTTGAAAAAAATATAATAATATGGGAGTTAAACTTTGATTTTTTAATGCGAAGTTGTCCAATCTATGCAAATGTGTGAAAAACTGGATGAGGACATCTGGGGTCTGGATACAAGACCGTCATGAAGAAGTTGCGTATTCTCCTTACGAACGAAATGCCTATGGATAGGAAAACTACAAAATGTGTATGGAGGGATGAAGAAGCTGAGTGGGCGTTACCCTTTACCATGGATGAACTTGGGT